TATGCAAAAATGTGATATGTCAGTACTCGGAAAAAAAATAAACAACGCAACTGTACACCGATCACAGGATTAAAAACACATGTACCGTTTCTTTCCATTCTAAGGTACCATCATTGCTCTGACCACCCATCCTTGTCCAACGGCATCGGTATCCATTGTCACCAAGGTCTTCTCCACTCTCTCGGTACCATGTACTGCCATCTTCATTTTTCCCAGTTTCATTGACATTATCATTTAACAGACTGATGCCCCAGTCTTTCTCATTAGCAATACCAGTGTCTATAAAAGGAAGAATAATCAGGAAATTTATCATCAGATACCACTAAGACACTAAGACCCTACATAGGTAAAATGCAATGAGGGTAACTGTTAATATCATCTGAAAAGAGAAAGAATGTTATAAAGCCGGGACGGAAGGAACCACAAGTACCTCGCTTTGGTGGAGAGTCACGGGACTGAGGGCCTGAATTTCTTGGGATACAACGTGAAAAGAACTTTTCTGGCTTTGAAACAAATCTAGACCTGCATAACGAAATGTTGATGAAAAACAAAATTTTCAATAAAAACAAACATCACTTGCAATCAATCGAAAAGGAGGCACAAAGGAGAAACAGTGAGTCAATAACTGTGAAGATATTCTAGGATACTAGAAATTCAAGACTAATTTGGAATTTCACATCAAGATTATCAAGCCTACAATGAATGGCTTGTTAATGACCCTTCAGCAAAGGTTATCATCTTTCTATGTAAAGACTATTTAGTAGTGCAGACCAAGTAGTGATATCAACAAAATGCCGAAAATTTTAACAACAGGATACCTCTCTCTTCTCCATTCCTTAATGATGGCGGAGATCAATCCAAATAAACAGTGAAATTAATTGTATGAAGTGAAACAAGCAAGCGTGACAAATTGCTAAGATATTCCATTGGTAAACTCACACTTTTTGAGGCAATAAGTTATGTGGTAGAAAAGATCACGAGACCCAACTTGCAAAGTTCTGCCTTTGAAGAAAACAAGAAAAATCTAATCTTATACAGATTCATATTAAGATTGCTGAAAGCATCATATTTGAGAGGGTTTATGTGTTAATGATTATATACATAAAATTCCTACTTTGTGTTGAAATGGGGAAGAGCAAACATACAAATATCTACACCGTACAAATGGCAGAAAGAAAATCTTTTCCTTTTGTTTGCACTTGGGCAAATTTTAACGTCTATCCCAAACAAACCCATGTGATGCCTTATCAGCTTCAGCCAGATAACAGGTAAAGTTAATTTCTTTTTCTGATAAGGAACATGTAAAGTTAATTTCTTTCAAAAATATATATATCACATTGCTTTTTTGAAAAGCAGAATATCCTAGAAACTAAGAAAGGTTGTGACTTTAGCTCGTATAATAATCATAAATCATTAATTAGTCTAACCAACATTGAGGAAATGCAGTTTCAGCATATACTAAATCCTATCCAAATAGAATTCTTTACTCCAAATATGACATTGTTCAAAACCTTTGCAAGGGATATAGCACTAACCTATTAAAGAGCTCAAAGAAAACCTCAATATATGTTCAACAACAAACAATATGAACCACCCATTTTGCCCCGTTTCGTTCGATTACTCATTCAGGCTTCTCTAAGTTATTACTTCGACGAAATTTAGTTTTTCTTCTATGAATTCAACTCTCTATTTTTACTTACTGTTTGTAACAAATTGATATCCAAGCTACCATACAATAAAGAATGATCAGAAAAAATGTAACATAAAAATTACATTTCCCAAAAAAAAAAATGACACCTTTTTATAATATTTAGAAATAATTTAACTTTAAATTTCTCATTTTATAATTAATGAGATGATTTATTGCCACAAAAATGTCTCTGTCATATTCTAGACAACAAATTCCAAAGACTTTCTGTCTTAAAACTCAGTTCTCAATCAAACAATTTCACATANTTCTGTCTTAAAAAACAGTTCTCAATCAAACAATTTCACATAAATTTATAAAGAGTGACTTACTGAGGAGAAGGAAAGGGCATAGAAGAAGAAGCTTGAATCCTCATATAATTAGCACTGATCTTCTTAGCATCAAACCTCCAATCCTCACCTCCTCCACTTTTATCAACACCATTCCCTGAATTAATTGGCATTGCTGAATCTGAACAACAACATTTTATATTACTAATTAACTTCCTCTTCTTCCTTCGGAACTCCACAAATCCCCCATTATTACGGTAATAATAATAAGCAGAGGGTGATACATCAAGCTTAGCCCCTATGGGCGCTGTGAATCCTCTAGAAGAAGCCGCCATTATTATTGTTCAGGAAAATGCCATTGGAATTAGTAGAGAATGTGTTGATTAAGCCCTAGAAATTGAGGTTTTTAAGCAGCTGAAAGAATTGGAAGAGAGAAATTAGGAGAATTTTTTTGGCTACTTATAGAAAAATATTTTTGACGGTGAAGAGGACCAAAAAGTAAGAATTGGTTAAAAAAAAGGGGGGGGATTATCTCGAAAAATATTTTAAGTTTTTAGTGTGGGTATTTGCGATTGGGTCCAGTATCTTGTGATTTGTATCCATTTTGCCACACTGGATTTGCCACGTGTCCGTTAGTGAATCAGCTTTCTTGGACCCTCTCTTTGCCAATCCCCTATTAACAAAATCACAAATGGCAAATAAAAATATTTTTTGTTTCTAACCCATGTTTCATACTCCCATTGAGTTTTGACTAATTTACCCTTTGGCCATAAAAAAGATTTTACTTTTTTTCGATTTTTATTTTATTTTTTTCCGAAATCAGTATTTGGTCATAATTTTTCAATTTTCGCTTGAAGATAAATTTCAGAATTTTTCGAATATTTGAAAAACTCCTAGAAGCTGTTTTTCAAAATTTTCACTTAGATCACCTTACATAAAATTAAAAATAACCCAAAATTGTATTCATCTCTAAATACAACTCTAATTTTCATATATCATTTTCACTGTTTTCTGAAATTTTACACTTCTTATGTCCAAACGCCCACTTAGAGTCACGTACCTTATATTTGGTTGATTAAAGGAGAAAATGCTCTTTACCAAAACAAAACAAAAAATATTTCAAAGTTCGAACCAGACACATCTAATTAAGGATGAAGAGATTTTATTTATCCATCGCAATCTTGATGGTGAAAGATTATTATGATTTAACAATACCAACCATTTGTAATGATGCTTGCTTTGTTTTCAATGTGGCTTACATTGTTTCGATTTGAGTACTCTTAAGTCATCATTTAATTTGTTAAAATGATTCAGATATGTTATGATTTTCTTTGGGTAGTTAGATGTGTTATAAGTAGTTATGTTTTTGTTAAGTGGAATAAAGAGCAACTTTGTGGACTTAAAATGCATATATTTTTATTGAAAAAAATATATACTATTTTTATCCTAAAAAGTGGAGGGTCATATATTAGTATGTGCACAATTAATTTTCGATTTGAAGTCAGATATTGATTTTTAAATTTTTTGAAATAAAAGTACCTATTTTGTGATTGCATGAGGTGGGTTTATATTATAAATTACAATATAAGGTATTGAAAAGATCACATTTCAAAAAAAAAAAAATCATTATTCGATTGCTAAGGTTTCATTCTCTTTAGAACAACGAAATTACTTGAATTTCCTTTCACACTTTTTAAGACGTAGAACAAAATGGTCAGTTATAGGGGTGTTCAAATCGAATCGGAAAACCGCACTAAATCGAAAAATCAAACCAAACCGATTAAAAACCCGACTATATTTGGTTTGACTTGGTTTGGTATTAAGTAAAAAAATCCGAACCAAACAGACATATACTGGCATTGATATTGTAACCAAATCAAGGCAGGCAAGAAAATAACAAATGCTGATACATTTCTTTCAACCATCACTTCTACTAATCAGGGGCAGACCCAAGTGGTGAGAAGTGGGTTCAACTGAACCCGCTTAGTCAAAAAATAATACTGCGTATATGTATAAATTATGGCTAAAGCAAGGTAAATTTTGTATAGAAATTATTTTTGAACCCGCTTATACGGCTTATAACGCTTATGTTAGTTATGGACTTTTCCGAATGAACCCGCTTGCACAAAATCCTGGGTCTGTCACTGCTACTAATATATGGTTTACAAAACCAATAAGGCAAGAGATCGTCGTCACCGGACCGTGTGATTTAGTGATCAATGAAATGAAATGAAAATTATATTAATAAATAATAAAATATGCAATTTTTTTAATTTACTTATGTCTAAATGGCGAAGTTATTTAATATATGTTATTGAAAGATAGTAATTATCCCGTGCAATAATCCAAGTACGTATAAACTTGCCCAAACATCACCTCGCGCATCGATGTAGGTGGGACTCAGACTGCTCCAATATACATCCTATCTTAGTAGCTAATAGTAAGTAATTATTTCAAAAAAGTCTTCTACTTTTTTCATCTAAACGAATAAACGATCGCCTGGGGGTAATTTGCTTGAAATTTTCAGGTACATTGTTCCTAAAATTATAAAAAATAATTTTTGAAAGTTAAAGTTGTATTTGCACATTAGGAAAAATTACACTCTCGAAATAACAGCCGTAAATGTATATTTTTTGTATATAATACATTATGCATGTTATATATAAAAATTATAAAAATTTTATATACTTTTTCGGCTACATAATGGAAATAGTTTCTGACGCGGGCTATAAATGAAAAAAGCTAAGTTTGTGAGTGGACGCAAAAATTTCTTCAATTTTTTTTTCAAAAACTAATCAAATTCCAGTCCAATGTTTTCAAATTTTCTTTGGAAAATTAAAAAAAAAAAAAATCTATATCCAAATGGGTCCTTAGTTTTTAAGAGATAATATTTACGTAACAAAGGTACGAGTATAAAGTTCTTCTTTTTACTTTTTAAAATATGAATAGTTCACATGCAGCTCTTGAAACCAAAATCACCTAAATACCTCTTCCATGCAAAGTGGTAATATTCGCAACTAAATGGTACACAAACTTCAGTCCGCAATTTTTATTACTCCCTCTATTCTCAAAAAAATCTACTCTTTTTGTCACAAAAAGAATTGCCACTTTGCATGGAAGAGGTATTTACTTGGGGCAAAAAAATCAATGATACTAAAGAAAAGAAAAGAAAAGAAATTAACCATAAGATTCAATTGCAGTGGGCAGAATCATTTATCTGGTGCAAGGAAGGTAACCTCCACTTCCAACTAAAAGGTTGTGAGTTCGAGTCTTCCCAAAAGCAAGGTGGGAAGTTCCTGGAGGGAAGGATGTTGGGGGTCTATTTGAAAACAGCCTCTCTATCCCAGGGTAAAGGTAAGGTCTGCGTACACACTACCCTCCCCAGACGCCACACTAAGTGAGATTATACTGGGTTGATGTTGTCGTTAAGAAGCAAGGCAACGGTTAGAACCATTCGCCGCTCTCCACGTGTCAACAAGAAAGTGTGATGACTTGGCACAAGGCACATGCTGACGCAGAAATCTGAACACTGCGGATAAGCCGACTCATCATATCATCCTAACAAATGATTCCTGACACATCATTCATGGTGAAAAACAGCTCCACGTGTACATGAAAAAGATGACAAATTCTTTTTAAAATAATTCTGACCTTGACTTTTGCTGTGAACTAGGAAACCGAATCACTTTTGACAAGTTGTAGATATGCTATCCCTGTGTGTTTGGATAAGCTTAGAGTCACGTCAATAACCAGTTAGGGGCAACAAATTTCCAATTTGGAAATCTAAGGGTTGAAAAATTTTATAGCCACATCCTCCCCTCCATTTTCAAACATTATTTGGCACCTTCTGATTTAGCATCATATCCACGGAACCAGGTAAAATGCTAACAAAAATCAAATAATAAAAACTTATATTTACGTTTACACCAAATCAATAAATGCATACTCATATCATAATCATATGATAGACAAATCAACCAGTCAGCCTGAAATACTAACTGCGATCACAATGGTCTCATGTTTTTACAGAACAATAACATAGTAATATCTATTCGCCGAAATAGACGAATAGAGTAAAAATTTAAAAAAATAAGGGCATCATGAACCGGGTACTCTGTTTGTTCAAGGAAAAGTGGTCATCAACACAGAAATTAACACTTGGCCACACAAGAATCTGTCGACTTTAGTGATCTTGTGACATAGTCAGCTGGACAATAACATTGGGTGGATCCCATTATGAAGTACCTGGTCGGAAGTTTATGAAAAAGTTCATGACATCACTCTTTTCTGACCCTCTACAACGTGCAAAGATATGACAACCATAAACTAATTTGAATGGAAAAGCATGAAATGAACTGCAAACGTCATACTAGATAAAATCAAAGAGATCTCTAGCAAAATTCTATATTCCACCTCAGCAGCATTAACTCCATTGTGAACACATGGTTCAATTTCAAGAATACAAGTTTGACAGGGGACATACTGTAGTGAAACAAACATGAAAAGAGATGAGAAATGGCAAAGAGATAATGAGGTCGTAAAAGGGATCAAGAGTAAGTACGTACTTCGGTTGTTCTGATTCATTTTCTTGGCAGATGAGGCTTTGTCGATTCTACAACCACCTGCTTACCCACCCCAAAAAAAGAAGAGGAAAAGCAATAAATTAAGACAACAAAACACTTAGCGCCAATTCTTAATTTATATCAAGACAAAATTCTTAAGACTATTTAACGTGAAATAGAAATAATAAACTAATTTTCTAAGTACACATGCACAATTGTGGGAACATTCTCTATGTCATCCTGAAATCTGGACTCAGAATTCCAACACAAGAAAAGACATCGATGCAACAGAAACCTCCACTTTATATTCCTTATAAATATAAAAACATAGAATTATGTAATCATAATTATGATGTAAAATGAATGCATTAATTGGACAAGCTAAAGACGGTTGTCAAAACTAATTAAAGATGGATGTTAAAAATTTGGACAAAATTTTCTATTGCCTATTGCCCAAAAAATCCAATAGCATTTGCAGCAATACCTCCTAGTGTTAATGCAGATCAAAGCTAGAGTAATTCACAGACTGCAAAATCTGCTGGTTATTTTCCAAAGACAACATGTATACTTCTTGGTTCTTCTGGCAAATACCAAATAGAGATCTTACCCTTCCATCATATGATAATGATGCAAATATCCACGGCTCTCGACAGCTCCAAGCAAGTCCTACAACCAAGATGGAATAGTCAACTGCTGCTTACAAAGTAAGCTGATGAGGCAACAAGAAGTGCTTACTTACCATACACACTGTCTTCATAGTCACTATATGAATTAAGCAATGGATCGACAGGCCTATTAGGGGAGTCAAAGCTGAAAATCCATAAACTTCATTAGATACAGTGAGAGAAGACATTTTCAAGTGTTTTTTTTTCTTTTTCTTACTTTTCTTTTTTTTGCGGAGAAGGGGAAGAGGGTTTAAGAAAGCACCTCTCTGAAGTTGGTTTGTCGCCACTAGGAGGAGAAGCCCGCCACAGATTGACAGCAGAATCAGTTCCAGCGCTCTGCCAAAGATTTTGTTTCAGCAACAAAATATCAATGGCCAAAGTAGAACACACGACTTGTTTTTAATACTAAAACCCCATATGCATAGTAGATAAGACATAGGACATGCTGTCAAGAGCTTTCAATGNGTATACCCAACTGTGCTCTGTACATAGAGAGGATAGACAAACAGATACAGAAAATGAAGAGAAGAACCAGAATTAAGTCTTCATATTCGGGATTGCACTTGACAGTCCATGTCCTGGGAACAAACATAAACTGCATTTACTCAATATAGAAAAGGAAATTCAGAAAGAAATTTATAATCCTTTACCCTAACGAAAAAAGTGAAAGACCAGACAATAATCTTATATAAAGAACTCAATTAACTAAAGATAAGGTAAGCAGCCTCATTATTGCCACAAAGTAGTACCAGTGAGCATGTCCAGGGAGCTCAAGGACTGGAAACTTCAGCATTCTAAGATCCCATATATGTATCCCAGATTCATCTTCAGCAGTTACCTGCAGAATTTAAATACATCTTCACTGACACCAAACGCCTGCTTTCTTCCAGGGAAAGAAAAAGAAGCTAAGACCAAACTACTTTGATATTATAAACAGAGAGTTGAAAATTAAGATGGTAAAGTTATGATAGCAATACCTTGCACATAGAAAACTAATACCACTTTCTCCTGTGTGTACCCATTTTAAATCTTATGAGAAAAAAAATGGAGAACCTAAAGCATGGAGAGGTAGCAAAACCAGATTTATTGAGTCCAACTAACTATTCATATTTCACTTTGATGCTTATTTGGTATCTTATTATGTTCTCTTTAAGAAATTTAAAAATATTGTTCCAAACACGACAGAGAAATTCCTCAACTTGATCATGGTTTCTTGATAGAAAAGTTCCAAGAACACAGGATAATCATCTTCATATAAAACTGGCATGTTAAAGATGACAAACTTCTATTTAGGTAGATGGAGACATTAAAATACACAAATATGCGAACTTCTTCAGAATTAAACAACAAATCATTGAGCAAGAACCAGAAGCCTGAAAGAGAAGTAGAGCCATTAGAAACACCAGACCACAGCCATACACTTTAGAGGAAGTACTATCCATGTCGTGACATTCTTCTCATTCCATCTCTCTCCATAGAATGATCACTAGCAGGAAACAGAAAGTAGAAAGTAGAAGATAGTATGTTTAAAGAACTGAAAAATATAATCCTTTCCTTCTTCGAGCAGCAACAAGAGTACCTCCCAAATTTCCATATTGAAATTGAAATATTAGTATGAAAAAACAAAAGGAAAAGGAAAAAAATGTTTCCTAAGATGGGTCCACATTAGAGTGTCAACTCCTAACATTGTTAATATTAACACATAGGCGTACATGCAAACAACAGATACACTTCACACATTCATAAAAACTTACTCAAAAAGATTTTTTTTCATTTGCAAACAATGGACGATAAATCAAGCAAAAGATGCAACTTAATAACTTCACAAATCTATGTACTTACAAGCATAAACTTTCTCTTCACATTGTAATCCAAATTACGGACATGGGGATGATCAATTGAGGTCGTTTTCCTGCAGTGGAATTAGCCATGATGTAAACTGTGTCTTGATAATTATTCAATTAATAGGACAAAAGCAGAAATAGCTTTACGTGTACCTAAAAAAAGAAAGCAATTAAATAATGCAGTGAGCAACTTTTGTGCCTTAAAACTATTACCCTTTGGGTAGTAAGCATACACCGCGTTATCTTTGGGACCTTGAAACTATTTACTATTAAGTTTCTTTCTTAATCAATGCCACGCTATGACTTGGATCTATAGTTTATAGCACTAGATTCTATGAAATAGATGCAGTACGTGCTTTATGGGTTTTTCCTCTGTATAGATTAGGCTATATCAAGAACATGAAAATATTCTCTTTTCCCCTCCTCTTTCAAAGTATGTTTTGTCCTAAGAGACATAGTTGTCCATGCCATGCTACTTACTTTACTTCCAAGTACTCTCTTCCATTCTTTTCTGGTATGATTTATCTTGAGCTTTTTCACAAGTGAACAGTGACTAACGACAACCCATGAAACAGAATATAGAGAATGAAGTACCATATTCACTTACTTCATTGTCCGTAGATCCCAAAGTTGGACTGATGATTCACATGTTAGCGCTAGAGCATTATAATCATGAGGATCCCAGGCGCCCCCAGATAAAGAATGTAGCACACCTGCTGATTCTTGTGATTGTACCTAAATTTTGTAGCAGACCTGAATAAAAATTAGCCCCACAAATCAGAAGTAACAACACTTTTACAACTATGCTTGACGTTCTCTGGAGCTAAGAACAGTGATAACCGAAGATGAAACACACAGAAGCCTAAGGTAAACTACAGACCACCTTGTATTTCAAACAAGGGCGCGAGAATATACCAACCAAAAGAACATCTCAAGATAATATTATTTCCAGCCCAGTAAATAGGTTTAGCTGTAACAGAAGTACTCTATAGTGCAAATTACATGTTTATTTTGAGCGCTCTACTACTAGTAATCAAACAGTTCGGTACTTAAAACATCCAGCTATGAGGAACACAAGTGAATTTTCAGCCAACATCTATGCCATTTCAAATTATTCATCAGCTTTCACCCTGTATGTGTTAACAATGTATTACTATTCGTATGTTCCTGGTTCACAGCATTTTCAAACTATCAGAAGGTAGCACGATTGTAGTATTATGCACTGTGGCTTTGCTTCTCCAACCCCTTTTCCCAAGCCAAACGATGATAAACTTCTTGCAGTAGCATAAAAGAAATGACTGTTCAAGAAAGCATGTCTGACCAAACATGAGCAGCACTTTTCTCAAATGAAAATTAAAACAAAATCAAGACGAAGGATGACAGATCTAAGTAGCCATATGCTGGAATATACCTGTGCATTCTTCTTTGAAGTATCAAAGCTCCAGAGGAAAAGATTCTGCTCATCAATGCTAACCAACTTGTCATGCCTTCCTGTTGGCCACCAAAGTGTGCTGCCCACCATTTGCAATACATTTAAGTGTCCGAGTAAATGAAATAGATAAGACCACCATTTAATAGAAAAATTAAGAATAAAAAGGATGAGTCTTTGAAGCATGATAGACCAAAAGAGAAGGATCATAAACTGTTAACTACTTAAAAACATCTCAAGCACGAATTAAAGAACCAATTTGTTAGTAATTTACAGCTATCGAATTTCAATTACGTGACCACCATCTCATAGAGCTCGCAATACTATAAGATTAAGCAAAAAATTGTTCAAGCAGCAGAACTGCTAGTTGAGACCAAAAGCTTTGAATTGCTTCATTCCAGAGAGCAAAGCAAAGAAAAGGAATAAGCATGAAACAGAACACAGAAAGAAATGATGATTTTTGAAGTATTAGGATTTTTCCTCCAAAACCATAGGACTGCATTTTCGATTATATTTGAAGCACTCATGAATCACGGCATTCCATTTCGGGAGATAATTAGGTTAGCTTTGTCGAAGGGTAGTGATAGTTCTAGAGTCTGGGGAATGAACCTGACTTTAACTATCATCCAAAGTGTGAGAAGATGAGCGTTATACAACTGGGATTTGCTGATGACTTACTACTATTTTGCAGGGGCGATGTGAAGTCTATTCAAATGCTATTTGATTGTTTCCAGGAATTCTCAACAACTTCTGGACTAAGTGCTAATAGAGACAAAAGCTCCATTTATTTTGGAGGTGTAGATGCAACAGTTCAACAACAAATCATGGAATTAACTGGGTTCACTAAAGGAGAGTTACCAATAAGATATCTTGGTGTTCCCCTGAGCACCAAGAGGCTCTCAGTGCTTCAATGCCAACCTTTGCTGGAAAAGATGATGGGAAGAATTCAAAGTTGGACAGCGAAATTCCTCTCTTATGCAGGAAGAGTCCAGCTGATAGAATGTTCTCTTTTCGGTCCAAGTATTTTGGTCACAGATATTTGTATAACCCGCAAAGGTAGTTAAGCTAATTGAGGCAACATGTAGAAAATTCTTATGGACCGGAGGAGTTGAACTATCAAAGAGGGCTTTGCTTGCATGGGATAGAGTTTGCTATCCTCAGGTAGCAGGAGGTATGAATATCCTTGATATTTGCAGCTGGAACAAAGCTGCCATATGCAAACTATTATGGAATTCGTGTAGCAAGAAGGATAGCCTATGGGTCAAGTGGGTACATAACTATTATATAAAGGAAAGGCAAGTATGGGAGGTTGCACCAAAACAAGCATCCTGGGTAGTGCAAAAAATCTTAAAAGCCAAAACCTATGTTGAACTAGCAGGAATAAATGCTAATGAGTTTCAATCACTGTCAAACTTCTCTATTAGGAAGCTGTACACTAAAATGAGAGGTGTTTTTACTAAGGTTTCATGGAGGAAGCTAGTGTGTAATAACTTAGGAGCTCCCAAATGGATATTCATATTAAGACTTGTGGCATATGGAAAATTGCTTACTAGAGATAGACTAATACAATAGGGACTGGAGGTTCCATTGGCTTGTCCACTCTGTAATACTGGGAACGAAAGTATTCCACACTTGTTCTTTCAATGTGATATGTCTTCCTATATCTGGAAAAAGGTCCTAGCTTGGCAAGGGATAAGCAGAATGGTAATGGATTGGTAAGAGGAACTAAAGTGGGCTGAAGTTTATGCAAGAGGAAGAAGAGTCGAGGCAGAGATATACAGAATGGCACTTTCAGCGAGTGTGTACTACATCTGGAAAGAAAGAAACCAACGGGTATTCCAATGTATGCAGTCAGATTCGAAGCATATTATGAAACAGATTATCCAAGAGATATGTTGTAGAGGAACAATGCATGCAAGATTAGCTAGGAAACTTGATCAATTAAATTTCTATCCTTAACTTTGTGGTTGTAGTAGTTAGCCATGGTGTAGTTGTGTGATGATATGGTTGGCTTTGTAGATCCTGATGTTGGGGCATCATGTCCATCAGCCAGTTTGTTTCTTTTTTCTTGTGTACATATTTTCGATTGGTAAAAAAAAAATTATTTACCAAAAAAACAATGTAACTGTTGGAAATCATATCATCAATATATTTAGCATAAGAGCTAATGTAGCATAGGAGATGATAATAGGAGGTATAATGATAATAGAAGTTAATGAAGCATAGGATTTCATCGGATCATAATTTCAATTTTTTTTCTTTTTTGCAAAATAAGATGCAATCATGCTTATATGTACATAGATGGAAGCTGCTGTCAGTTGGGTAAGTTTCAATATTAAGCATTAGAAGCTACAATCGCAGCATTCATTCGAATGATTAAATGAACATACGGAGTTTTGATGATTAAAAAAAACAGAATTTTGCACACAATGCATCCTGTATTTCTACTCCTAAGCCTTAATGTTTATTATTTATTATAAGCATGACAATCTTTGGAGCTCAGGGGCTATGTTTACCATATAAAAAGGACTTACCACTTTATCTTTGAACTATGAGCATCAAGAGCCGCAATCTTCTCTAGTTGTGGAGAATTCAACTGGCCATACAGCTCAGGGATCTGCCATATTGCTGCCCCATATGTTTCACCTGCAAACAAATAGACCATCATCATAGAACCTAGTTCTCAAAAACATCAACTACCAAAACCAACCGCAATTGCATTCTAACATCTAATGAATGCCACAAAAGGCAACTCAAATGCAAGGAACGTCCTTGCGATCTTGCTTAAGCAGACAAGTGAAGATCATAAATTCAACTTCTGATGCTACAAAATTAAAAAGAAACAAACTATTGCTCAAACCACCAAAGGATACTAGTTTTATTAGGGGTGTGCATTCGATTTATCGATTCGATTTTGACCCTTATCGATCGATTATCGATTTGTACATATGCTTATCGTTATCGTTTCAATAAGGTTTCGATTTCGATTTATCGATTTTTGGGGCTTATCGATTCGGTTATCGATTACACCAATAAGAAAATTTGCGGGATTCTACGGAAAGTATATTGCTATAAACACGCCTAACTAATATGGACAAAAAGAAGCTAAAATAAGATGAACACCGTTTATAACATAAAATTTGTGTTAACAAGCATATGCAACGAAACTAAGTAAGGGATCAAATGTATGCTACCAACACTCCAACGGTATAAAAAAAAATGCATGGCTAATTCTATTTTCCATTAATTTGAACTTCATTCCCTAAAGCTTTAAATATGATCCGTCCTTAAATGTGGTTGATGAAATAATAGGGTTAGGGACTTAGGGTAAAGGAAAGGGTATTAAAGAATAAGGGTAAATAGTATATCTTATCGGTTTATCGATAAACCTATAACCGAAGAGGACAAAATCGAAATCGAAATCGATAACTCGATAAGGAAAATTTTGAAATCGAAATCGATGAATCGATAAACCGATAACAAATAATCGATTCGATTTATCGATAAACCGATTCGAATGCACACCCCAAAGTTTTATCAAAAATAGGAAAACACCAAAATCAATAGCAGTGTGGTTTGACCAATTAACTAGCACCCAAGGGTGTGAACTAGTGGTCAATGAAGTCAGGAGAACCATGAGGTCGCAGGCGGAATAAAAAGATACTAGGTAATTTCTTTCTATTTGTCTACGCCTTGGCGGGCAAAGCTATCTGGTACCTATGTTGGTGAGCTTGTGGGAGGTAGCAAGTACCGGGTGGAAGAGTCAAGGGGCACAAGCTGACCCTAACACTACTGTCATAAAAAAGAACTCCAATTAACTACGCATCAATCCCAAATTAATCCGCTCAACTATATGAATCTTTTGTAGGAAATTGACACCGGAAAATAACAACACTGCAATAATATTATTTGTAAGCAGATATACGAATTGGCTTGAGTCGTGCGGGCACTGTCCTAAGAAACTATTTCAGCAGTGTGAAATGTCTCTCCAGGATTAAACAAGCCTACTTCTATTTGAGAGGATACAGGAATCAGCAAAATATTAAATTACAAACCCAACTATTTAAAATAGGAGAACAAAGAAAGTAGACTACAAAATTTTGAGGAGGAAAGAAAAGGAAGCTGAAGAGGAACGAAAAGGCAAAGGTAAAAGATGTTAATGAATGATGGCTATTTTGAAGGCCTATTTATAGGCTATAAGAGAAGCTTAGAGTATGACAAGTGTATAACACTTGTTTTGAATTTCCCATGCAAGATTGCCACATGGAAGGATATTTGTCCAATTTTTGGAAATATCACAACAGTTCCCACATATTTTCAAAAAATACAAAGAGGAGTAAGATTTATTGGATTTGTATGGTCCAAATGCAATAGGTTTGGTGTCTTTTGGACTATGAACCAAACTTAGACCAATAAAACTTAACTCACAAAATTACTGGTGAAATATAATATTTCTATGAACCACAAATTCTTATTGTAAGTCAGAGATTTTATCAATCACATTTCGACCCTCACAATTTTGTTGTTCAACGCGGTTTTGCGCCACTAGGTCATGCGGTGCCTGGTTATTCATGAGAGCTCTAGAGACTAGGCCAAAATCTCATAGGAGCGGCCCCACTCCGCTCTCATATAGGTGAATTCATCAAGTGTATACTGCTTTTAAATACACCATCCATAAGGACTATGAATTTCATTAAGAGTTATAACTCATCCTCTCAATTAGTAGCAGTTAAGCACTCTCCTTTAGTGCTTCAATGTCAATATCGACTTGTTATTTCCCATATGAACCTACTTCATGGGATCTCCAATCACATAGGTTGGGTTACCATCTCTATTGACAACATGTCGGCCTTAACCCCATCTCTTTTGAGGTTTGAAGAATTAATTTTCTTCCCATTGGTTTAGTCAGAGAATCGGCCAAATTAATTTCTGACTTCACATAATCAATGGAAATTATTCCATCTCTCGGCAGCTGCTTTATGACATCATGTCTCAATTTCATGTGTCAACTTTTACAATTATAAGATTTATTCTTTGCTATAGCTATTGTCGCTTGGCAATCACAATGTATAAACATAGGAGGCAATACGTCCTTTATTGAAGGGATATTAGCTAAGAAGTTTCTTAGCCACTCAACCTCAGAATCAGCTAACTCCAGAGCTACAAAATCTGATTCCATAGTTGATCTAGCAATGATCGTCTGTTTAGCTGATCTCCACGATATTGCACCACCACCAAAGGTGAATACATAACCACTAGTGGATTTTATTTCATTTGAATCAGAGATCCAGTTTTCATCACTGTACCCTTCTAAACTAGAAGGAAATCTATTATATAGGATACCATAATTCATGATTCCTCTATAATATTTCATTAGTCTATCCAATGCATACCAATGCACTTGGACCATACAAATCTAGCAAATCTTACTCCTCTTTGAATGAATTTTTTGAAAATATGTGGGGAAATTGTTGTGATATTTCCAAAAATTGGACAAATGTCCTTCCATGTGGCAATCTTGCGTGGGAAATTCAAAACAAGTGTTATACACTTGTCATGTTCTAAACTTCTCTTATAGCCTATAAATAGGCCTTCAAAATAGCCATCAATCATCAGCATCTTTTACCTTTGCCTTTTCGTTCCTCTTCAGCTTCATTTTCTTTCCTCTTCAAAATTTTGTAGTCTACTTTCTTTGTTCACTTTTAAATACTTGGGTTTGCAATTTAATATTTGTTGATTCCTGTATCCTCCCAAATAGAGGTAGACTTGTTTAATCCTGGATAGGCATTTCATACTGTTGAAATAGTTTCTTAGGACAGTGCCCAGCACGAGTCAAGCCAATTCGTATATCTGTTTACAAATAATATTATTGCATTGTTGTTATTTTCCGTTGTCAATCCCTACATCTTTAGCATTCATTCCACTCCATCGACAGTAGTAACTATTAAAATCATGAATATCACATTAAACAAATTCAAGCAAAACAGAACTGTCATGAGTAGATACTAAATTCCACTTTTAATTTAACAAATCTAAAAGATCACAGAAGAAACAACACACTATGTTCATTCAAATCAACTCAATCCAATGTTAAGAAAACGAGAGAGTGAACAAAGATAAATCATTAGTCGAATATACAGTTAAACTGTCACGTGCCGATAAAACATCGAGCTTCAATAAACAAAAAATTCAACAGAAGAAAATACAAATATATTCGTTCAAGTCAACTTGATCCAATGTTAAGTAAATGAGAAAGCTAACTAAGAAGATTCATAATTAACTTTAGTAAAGGAAAATTAAACAATAAAACTTACCGGAAGAGAAAACAGTAGAGAAAATACGTTGATCGAAAGGACATGAAGCAAGGTCCCAGATCTCGTTAGGGTGAGAAAATAGACCTTCACAGATCAATTCAGTGCCAGCTGAAGAAAGCCGAATCAAATGTACCTGCAAAATGCCGCATTACTGGGCAATTCACGTCTACTCGTGACGAATTAGGATGAAGTATGAAATGAAGCTAATTGAATAGTACCTCATTTTCTTCTTTGAGGCTGAGAGTTCCGGTGAGGAAACTGGTGTGATCCGTGTCGGCTTTCACATCGGCGATGCACCGTGCCTTATCAGAAAAAAAAAACGAGATAAATCAGTGAATTATTAGGGTTTATGCGAAATGAAAGGAGGAGAATTCTGAGGATTGGAGTTGAACAGACCTGATATTTGAGACCATAACCGATTCCATTTGATCCTCCTTGCATTGATTCGCAGCGTAGAGCTTGAGCTTGAGCTTTTGGCGGTTTGATTTTTACTAAGTACAGATCTTAAAGTGACGAAATTTTAACATTAATTGCGTGAGTGAACATAATCGCATTCTGATAGTGCGATTTATAAGTCGCCTACAATCCATTTGCTGCTTTTTTATTAACTTTAAGTTACACTCATTTTACTCATGAAAATAGTGGTTCACCATATGTGTTTTGACTTCTCACAAAATAAAACATTAGTGAGAGTTTCAACCTTATAGCCGGTTTGTCCAAGCTTATTTTTGGCTAAAAGTACTTCTTTTTTTTTGTCAAAAGCACTTTTGGCCAAAAAATAAGTTGTTTGGCCAAGCTTTTGGAAAGAAAAAAAGTGCTTTTGAGGAAAAGCAGAAGTTTTGGAGAAGTAGAAAAAAAGTAGTTTATCTCCAAAAGCATTTTTTTGAGAAGCACTTTTGAAAACAATCAAAAAGTCTTGTTCCTGTGTGTTTACCTTGAAAATGGTAACTACAATTATCTTTGATTTTGAGGTTTTAAAAATACGTGATTTATTTTAATACTAGTTGTACGACAATATATGCTAAGTGTAAGTAAATAAAATAAGAAATACAAACCAATAGGGTCAGAAGGTCGGGCCTCGAGCTGGCTGGAGCAGGGCCTCGAGGTCTAGATAGGGCTAATAGCAATGAGCAATTGATGAAGAATCAATGATAATGAGGGCCTCAAATATGGCCTTTTGCGGTTAATAATGAGCAATAAATGAAGAATAAAAAATGAACAATGAATGGATAATGGAAGAATAAGTAATAAATATATAGAACAATTGTTTAAGCAAAGAGCGGAGAATGTTGTATTGTATTTAATATGTTGTGTAATAATCTGAATCTCCTTACGAGACGATAGGGTCCCCTTTATATAGGAAGGGCGAATCCCAAAATAGTACATGTCTAATAAATGACGAAGAAATGCTACTAATACAGCTGTATAATGGCTCAGTACAGATTTGTACTATTCTTGCAGACTCTGTCATTCCTTATCACGTGCCCTCGGGGGTTTCTTGCCCTTCTATGAAGGTCGTCGATTTTCATACTGTCTCGAGGTACACCATGGTGAATCTTCGACGTACCCTGTCGAGGCGAATGCTTCGGGGATGGGCCTTGGGCTGTGCTATGATCCCATCGAGGCCGGGCTTGAACTGCCATGGGAGCCTTAAAACGGCCTTCCCTGATTTTCGACCGTATACACTATGAACATATACTGCCCTTTCTTTTTCAACTCATTTCCGTAGTCATACCCCCAAAACAATATAAAGTATCTATCAATTATTATTCCCAATTTTGCTGTTAATAATGATTTCGATAATTGTAATCTTGATGTTTTTGGCGAGACAAATATAACCAGTGCAATTCGAGGTGTTATCGGGTTACACAAAATGCATAGCAGAAGACATAAAGAGTCATGGTTGTGGCAGATACTTGGTTCTGAACTTAGAGTTGGAAGTTCAAAAACTAAGGACACTTGGTCCTTAACTTAGAGTTACAAGCACAAAAATTAATGATAGGTAGTCCTGAAATTCGAGTTCCAAGTTCAAAAGTTAAGGACATGTAGTCCTGAACTTAGAGTTACAAGTTCAAAAATTAAGGACAAGTAGTCCTAAACTTAGAGTTACAAATTCAAAAACTAAGGACAAGTGGTCCTGAAATTTGAGTTACAAGTTCAAAAGTTAAGGTTATGTAGTCCTGAACTTAGAATTACAAGTTCAAAAGTTAATGATATGTAGTCCTAAACTTAGAGTTACAAGTTCAAAAACTAAGGACAAGTAGTCCTTAACTTAGACTTACAAGCTCATAAATTAAGGACAGCTAGTCCTAACTTACATTAACAAGATCATAAGTTAAGGACACTTGGTCCTGAACTTAAAGTTGGAAGTTCAAAAATTAATGACACTTGGTCCTTAACTTAGAGTTACAAGCATAGAAATCAAGGACAAGTAGTCCTTAACTTAAAGTTACAAGCATATAAATTAAGTATAAGTAGTCCTTGATTTAGAGTTACAAGCACAAAAATTAAGGACATGTGGTTCTGAACTTCGAGTTCCAAGTTCAAAAGTTAAGGACATTTAGTCTTGAACTTAGAGTTACAAGTTCAAAAGTTAAGGACAGGTAATACTAAACTTAGAGTTACAAGTTCAAAAACTAAGGACAAGTAATCCTTAATATTTACACAACATTCATGAAGTTAAAGACATCATGTCCTTAATATTTATACAACATTCATGAAGTTAAGGATACCATATCCTTAATATTTATATTGCACTCATGTCTAACACAGTGATATTTTTGTCCGGACGGGTAAAAGATTATTAAGCAGTGGCTAAAAAGTAAATACATCCTAAACTGTGGATAAAAAGTAAAGACATCTTTAAATAGTGGATAACTGTGCACTTCCGTTAAAATAGCACGTTCTAGCCATTTTTCGGTCTGGTCATTCAAGAATAGCCAGCGTTTGCCAAGTTATTAAAAATTAGCCACTACTTCACTGCAACAGAGACCGGTCCAACATAATAATATGCTGGACCGGTATATTTTGCTGGCTCTAGTATAATATACTGGAGACTGGAGCATTGGTGCTCCAAACTCCATTATATTATGTTGGACCGGTATATTATACTGGAACTCCAGTATATTAGACTAGAGTTCCAGTATAATATATTGGAACTCCAGTATATTATGCTAGAGTATTTTTCCGGATTTTGAACAGTATTTTCCTTCAAATTTATCTTTACATGAAAAATGGCTAAATTTCGATTAATTTTGAAACTATGATTATTTTTGAATGACCACTTGTAAATCTGACTATTTTTGAATTTCTCCATGCACTTCCCCCAATAAAACACTTAATCAAGAAGCCCACCAGATGACCCGAAAGATTGGAAGGCCCAAAATATCACTGAGTCGCTCCCAGTGACGCTTGACTCATTCCTCTTCCCATAAGCTTTTCATGTTGTTATCATCAATGGAGATAATAGGGTTTTAGCTAAGGAAAAAACAAAAAGCAATTCGCTTAAAACATTTTTAAATGTCGTCGCTGACGTTGAAACCAACATTTCTCTTGCAATCTTACGGTTCTTCGTCTGTTGATAATCGACGGCTTTGTTCTTTAATTAGCTTCCAGAAGAAGAAAACATTTCGCAAACAAAGATTTACTTTGAGAGCTCAATCCTTCGATTCATCTCAAAAAAACAACGAAAATGACAGTAAAAACGAGTCGAAACCTCCCAACGGCTCTATGGTACTCAAATTTTCAGTCTTTGTTCTTTATTTGGAATTAGTGGAGTACTTTTTTTAAAGTTGAAAATGTTGGTTTGCCCAATATTGTAACAAAAATGCAGGCAAAGCAGGTTGAAAGATTTTAAAGTTAATAATGTTTATTGCAGCAAAAGAGCAGAAGGGAAATTCTATTGGAGTATGTACAAAATGTACAACCAGAATTCATGGAGTTGTTTGTCAAAAGGGCCCCACAACAGGTATTTGCAATAAAGTTTTATACTTTGAAGAATTTTTCCTTTTTAAATTTTTTTCTTGTGCATTTTCACTGTATATAGCAGGCCTAATTGGCCCAAATAGAGCGGAATAGATGTAGAGGACTTGTATAGATGAATCCAACTATTTTGTATTCAGGTAAAGCTGTTAGGTTTGTTGATGTAGTGACGTAAATATAAGTGAAAGAGCTAATGTAAATGAAACTTGCTTGAAGTTCAAGGTACTAACGTGACATGTTTTGATAATTCTTATGTATGCTAGGTAGTTGATGCGATGCGCCAAACTGTGACAAATATGATTGGAACTTTACCTCCACAATTTTTTGCCATTACTGTAACCACGGTAAGTGGCTATGATTTCAAGGTTTTGCGAGCCGTAATATCTGAGATGAGACGTGCTTTGATTATGGGCGTACATGTCATCTCTGGGGCTGATGCTAATTTTGGGCGATGTTGATTTTTCTTTAGGTGGCTGAAAATCTTGCTCAGCTTATGTATAGTGTGTTGATGACTGGATATATGTTTAGGAATGCTCAATTTCGACTAGAATTGCAAGAAAGCCTGGAACAGGCTGCCCTTCCTGAAGCACAGGAGGAAAAGGTAAGTACTTTTTGGTGTGTTGATTTTGTTGCCATTTTCTGGAACTAAATGAATTACCACTCTTTACTGCCAAATAATGTATCAGTTTCAATTTGGATAATTTACTTCAACATATCTTGGTTGTTTTGGAGTTATTCGTGTCTTTTCTCAGGTTGAAGTCTCTTAGCATCACTCAGGGGATAAATGACACTTAACACTAAATAGTAAACGGATTAAAACGGGCAAATGAAAATTTAAAAATATTCCTCAACGTAAGGCTGATGGGAAGTGAGCATCCATTCTCTTATCTTGGGTAGGTGCACATCTTCCAAGTTAGCAGGGTAGCAACTTGCTGTTTTTAATACAAGAGATGGAAGGGTAAATGGTATCAATCTGTTCATAAAACTATTTCTGGTTTGTCTCTATTTGTCCTCCAGAAGACTTTGACCGGAAAAGAACATATGATTTTGTTTAAAGATCATGATGTCACAATAAAATGTTTGACTGGATAACAGGGAAAAGATTTTAGTAGCTTTTTAACTTTCAAACTTANCTTTTTCTGCTTCTGCTTATGGAACGTAGAGGGTTACAATCTTTGTTCCACTTTTCTAAATTAAACCTTTTGAGTCCTTCTGAGAGTGGTTGCTGTTTGTCTAGTGTGTTTCACAGTCTAAGTTAAAATGAATGCAGTCGAAGTTAGAATTTCTTGGAATTGTTATATCATACTGTCAACTAGAAGTCTTCAATAAAACTATTCTTGCATTACCGGTGATTTTACGTTATGACTTTTTTTACAATTTCTATGATGTTGTCTCAAGTATCCACTGCTCAAATACCTTTTTTTTCTTTTGTTTTTAAAATAATGAATATTTGCTCTTTTTCTTTCCTGTCCTTTTATCTTATGGTCCATCTGAAAATACGTGTCCTTTGCTGGATTTGTGAAGTGTGAAGTACTTGTCTGTCAGCTGCTAGAACTGCTGCTTGAATTTGGTTGCAAAGCCAATATTTCTGATGAGTAACTTAGCACCCTTTTTACTGTTCAGGATTCACCAGATTATGCATCAGGTACCCAGAAAAAGGTGACTGGAGAAGTCATAAGGTGGAATAATGTAACAGGCCCTGAGAAAATAGACGCTTTGAAGTATATTGAGTTACTTGAAGCAGAAGTAGAAGAATTGAATCGTCAAATGGAAAGGAAATCTGGTAGCGGTTATAACGAGCTGTTGGAATATCTGAAGNGTTATAATGAGCTGTTGGAATATCTGAAGACTCTTGAGCCCCAAAATATCAAGGTCAGACAGCTTGCTGCTTGAATTTGGTGAGGGTATTTGACATTCGATGTTTTAGAGCAGGTGGGGAGGATATTTGAACATTCTGGGATTTTTTGGTGTAGGTAGTTATTGCTTAAAAACTGTTTGTTTTATATTGGTCTTTCTGATTTTGCTTAACCACTATGGACGAGTAATATCTATTTCACAGACCTTGAACTGCTGCTGAGTCCATGGGCAGGCTATATACAACCTTACAATTGAACTTTTATTTATGTATTTGTATAACTGTGTAATTCTAAAATCTAAATGGAGGAGGTAAATTTTTTAATGATTTTTTTTATGTAATGACATATTGCAGGAGCTGACCAGTACGGCTGGAGAAGATGTTGTGCTCGCCATGAATTCATTCATTAAGCGTCTCTTAGCTGTTTCAGATCCTAGTCAAATGAAGGTATAACATTTTCATAGTGCAGTTGTTGCTTATAAGAGAAAAATATTAGTCACAGTGGTCTAAGTCTCGATTCATTTCTGCAAAGATTCTAAAAATTCTTTGGCTGGCATGGCGTGGCGTCTGTACATATAGAAGATGCTTAAATATCACTTAATCAATATTGATTAACTTAATGTATCCACAGATCTTTTATTATGGAGATGTGTTCAAAACTCTCCTCTCCTTGTGCCCAGTTTGGTAAAAGTGGCTAGCTATCAACTATTGACAAGCATATTTATCATGTATTATTTTAAAATAGCAAAGGCAAAGCCTAGACAAACTATGTATACTTTTGTGTTCAGTAACATATGCAGCAAGTACTGGAATGTATGAACATGTTTGTTGGTATGCTTATCATTTTCCTTTCATATGGAATGCAGACTAGTGTAACAGAGACAAGTGCCCCAGAACTTGCCAAACTGCTATATTGGCTCATGGTGGTTGGTTATAGCATACGGAATATTGAAGTCCGCTTTGACATGGAACGGGTACTGGGTACTCCTCCAAAGCTCGCTGAGCTGCCTCCCGGTGAAAATATTTAGACACATATAACAAGTGTCTATTATAGCAAGCATAAAGAGTTGAAGCAACATGCCTTTTGATGAGCTTTTGTTGTTCGAGAGGGGTCAATATTAAGCTTGTACGACTATCTGGGAGGACTACAGCCAAAATTGGTTTTAGTGGCATTTTCTTCATTCACCTCCCCCCCCCCCTGTTATTCTCAGATTGAGAGCATCTTATACAAGAAGCTGTACTAAAAATTGATACACAGTACAAATGATGTAAGTTATTCTGATTCCTCACCCTCAAAATTGTACCTCTCCGTTGACGGGAATGAGAACTTGTATTCCAGAAGAACTAGCTTCCTGATATCTGATCTAACGACTTGTTCTTTGAAGAATTACTAATAATACTACCGGTTCTTTTTATCTTTCTTAATGTTTTGATATTAAGAAAACCATTTAATAGCATTAAATATAAAGGGTATTTGACTAAATTTCTCTAGTCTCTTCACTAAATGAGTAAATAATAATGATTATAATAGTAAACTTTGATTTGAAAAGGATAGTTAATGCCTTCTTGGTTTCCTAAAGCATAAGTAATTTGCAACAAATAACAGGGACTGCGATGGACTGTCATTTGTTTGGTAAGATACTAAGATGAAGTATTTTGTTGGTCTCCACTACAATTCACTATAAATTGCTAAAAAAGGAAAAAGGAAAATCGCTAAATTTGCTATTTCGTATATATAATGTGCATGGCCGTATGGTTTTGCTGGTAATATGAATTAATTTCCCCTAGTAAGTGTCAAGGCGTTTATGGCTTGAGAAGAGTAGAAGAATGTAAATGAAGCAACTAGAGTCACGTTCAAGTCAGACACAGGGGCGGAGCCAGAGTGCGGCATGAGGGTTCGCCGAACCCAGCGGGTTTTGTTCAAACCCTGTAATTGTCTTAAGAAATTTATTGAATTTGTACAAATTATTAATTTAGAACCCAGTAACTTAAAATAATAACAATTTCGAACCCATAAGGCTCAAATCATGACTCCGCCTCTGCTCAGACACCATGCCCACTTTTATTGGAAGTAAAAGAAAATAAGGTCTCACACATGTCAAGGCTCTTTTCAACACTAATGTACATACCTGTTGGCACAACAAAATGGAGGATCAGTGAAAAGAATCCTGCCAAACTAGATTATTTCGTGAACATATTTTCTTTTTCTGGAGAAGGATCAAAAATACCCCTAACGTATTAAAAATGACTCAAAAATACCTTCCGTTAACCTTTTGGTCCACAAATAGCCTCAACGTTTTAATTTGGCTCAAATCTATCCTTTCATTTAACGGTCCATCCATGGCAAAATTTGAGACTTTACAACAGCCATGTGGCACCTTATAAACATGCCACGTGTATTTTTCAATAATAAAATTAAAACCCACCTGTTTGTTTAAAAGTATCCAACCCACTCCTTAACTGCAGAGAGATAATCCCCTGACCCATTTCCCAGAGAAAAGATNCCCCCCCCCCAAATCTTGTACTGACATTTTACCAAAACATAGTGTATGTTTCGTCCATTTTTCATCAAATAAACAACTTTAAATATGCAGTTTTAGATATATACTAGTCTCCATTACATCACTTTAGTAGCTACAAATTCGACGAAAATAGATCCTGACAATAGTAAAAAAAATTCATTCTTTGCACTTTGTTCTCTGATGAAGTTGAAAGAAAGAAGAGGAAAAAGATTATAAAGGAGAAAATGGACTTGCAGAACCCTACTTGTTTGAACGAGGATGAAAGAATGGGGTACAAGGTTTTGATAAAAAGAAACGGGTCAGGTATCATGCGGCGGGTTGGGTACTTTTAAACAAACGGGTGGGTTTTAATTTATTATTGGAAAATACACGTGACATGTTTATAGCATGCCACATGGCTATTGTAAAGTCTCGGATTTTGCCATGGATGGTCCGTTAAATGAAAGGATAGATTTGAGCCAAATTAAAACGTTGAGGCTATTTGTGGACCAAAAGGTTAACGAAGGGTATTTTTGAGTCATTTCCAATACGTTGGGGACATTTTTGGCCCTTTTCCGCTTTTTTTTTTCCCCTAATTTGTTCTGCTGAAACCTTTGGCTGCTACTGCTGTACAATCAGCAAGGCATAGCACACAAAATTGCCAGGATTTCATACGATGGAAGATTCTGACTTTGACTACCTATGACACCTGGTATTGAAATGACAACCATATCCTCGTTAACCCATTCCGGTCCTTAAAATATCAAGACTTTGCAGAATCAGAACCGAACGCTGTCATACCAGGCGATTTGCAAGATTAGAAGAGTCAACCAACGTTGTCCAACCATGAAACCTTCATAGAGAACCACTCATTGAAGCAAGATTATTTGAAAGTCTCCTGGCCCATTGACTTTCACTAGGTGACCACGATACTGGATATCCAAGTATGGCACACCATCTTAATTGTAGTAAGGCAACAGTAAGATATTCCTTTGAGTCTTTGAAAGGCTCAAGAATCTGGGACTCGTCTTCCAAGTCTTCACCAAGAATTAGATTTTCGAGTTCAGTTTGCTTGTCATCCGCAATGTTGTCACACCCAGCAATCATTCGCACACTCAAAACTTGCAATGCTTCCATGGCAGTATTGTAGAATCCATGGTCTATGTATGCAGCGAAAACATGACTGCAAGTTGATGGATCTGGCAGAACCCCATGGACGTGCATCTGCTCCACAATGAGCTCGATGACATCTATTCTTCCCTGGAAAAAACAGTTTCATGACCTAGTTAGAAAGCGTACAGATTTTCTTCAAGCAGTAAAAGGTAAAATGCAGCTGGAGTTTTCATTTAACTTAACAGGTGGATGGGTTCATTCAATTTCCCGTTAAACTAACAGTCCTCTCCACTCCCCCTAACCGCCAAGCAAGTAGTTTCTTCTTTCTTCTCCTATCTCTAGCATCCTAACTCCCCCAGAATCCTCCTCTCCACTGCCATCTATGATTAACATTTCTAAGAAAGTGTCCAGCGCCCTTCTGGAAGAAATCTAAGCTGAGAAAACACTACCCCTATATTTGGTTTTTTTTCAAGCTTTAAGGAAATACCGGAAAGAAAAAATGATACCCCATTTGAATTCAGTTACTATCTTGAATTCAGTTACTTCTATTTTTTGCAATAGAAGTAGAATTGTCTTGAATTCAGTTACTATCTTATGGTAGCCCAAGACAATAATAATTGAAACAGCAAAAAGATTGATTGTGAAGCCTCCTTCCTACAATTTCAAGTTGAGGTACCAGGGTTCCACCAAATAACAGAAAAGAAATTCAAATAAAACCTTTTTTCTGTGCAACAATTTCATGTTATTCTATATATATACAATAGATTTGGCTTCTAATTCACAATTATCGAAAATAAATAAATATTGGCTCTACTAAAAGGCAAGGATTTTATTAATAACAATACAATACCTTATAGGTTGATATTTTAGTTAATTACCTTCTCAGATGCCACTTGAAGAATGGTGTTATATAAAAGTACATCAAGCTGGATCCCTTCTGAAATTCCTTGATTCAACAATTTTAATGAACCATCAAAGTCCTCAGATCTCAACGATATCTGACAGCAGAAACAACTCAGTTCTCAGATGGAACATCAGTGGGCACCATTTGCATATCAAAATAGTCATAAAGGGAAAAATAAGCTGGTGAACAATGACCATGCGTCATAGCTATCTATTAGTTCTTGTAGTACATTCACCGAAAGAAAGGGAACGCTTTTTATTCACCATAAGCTAAGATCTAGTGTACCACTAGGGCAGATAGGTGATGGTTGTGGCAAGGCATTTTGTCCCAACCAATTGCCTATATTTTCGCCCCCTTCCAGCTCAATAAAGTATCAGACAAACCCAAACTGTTGCAGCGTTTTAGAAAACCAACAAGTTAGTTATGGTGGTCTTGGGTTTACGAGGTTTAGTGAATCATTTGATTGATTTGGCAAAGTTTATAAATAGTCAAAAAGTTAGCGGGATAAGTGCTAGAAAGCACATACTGTCCACTTCATAAAAAGTCCTTTTCAACAAATAACAAAGGCTAGATGCTTAGGCCAAGTTTGTGCAAGTTTACTTTTTATTTTTATTTTTCTAATGATCCAGCTTCCGCAGATTAGTGAGAATAGCTAAACAAGACTAAACAAATACCTTTAACAGACCAGTTAAAGTCACTGCTTGAGGATTGAAACCATTGTGTAACATCATAGAGATCAGGGTAAGTGCAGATCTGAAACATCCAATAATGCTACAGCAATCAATCATGATGTTATATGTTGCAGCATCGGGTGGAACTCCAGAAGACACCATAGATTTGAAAATCTGCGTTGCCATTTGGCTCTGAAAAGAAAAAAATAGACTCAGACAGCAGACACAGTGTAACCGATATAACTATGAAACAGATGCTTATATAGTAGAAATCCTAGGTTGATTACCTCTTTAGCCTCAACAAGGGAATGCAAAACTGTATTATAGACAGGTGTGATCATATAAGTGTCATAACGAGAGAACCGATTCTCCGCAGCATGTAAATATTGAATCAGCTCCTTTATCATCCCCTCTGTTCCAAGCGCTTTCAACTGGAAAATAAAGAAGAGTAAAATCCACGGATATTGCACTAAAGCATGCAGTCAATATAATACTGGAACTTAAGTCTTTTTAGTATTAGGGCACAAAACAATGGAGTATCTGCAGTAGAAGCATAAACAAAAGCTGCAACGTATGGAGCTGTTTCATAACTCAATTCAGCACTAAAATCACTTTAAAGATATGTGGCACTTAAGATGCTCTACAAATCTTAAGTGAGAAGACGTTGACCGATTATTTAATCTGAAAATGGTGAAGTCATTAGATGTTATATTACATATGCTTCCATAAACAATAAACTAATATTTAAATGGTGAGATAGCCTAGTTGTAAGGGCCTTCTATCTCAACCATGAGGTCCGGGCTCCAGTCACTAAGGGAGAAGGGTGGTGACAAAACACTGTTGGTCTCCTAGGTAGATGGATTTGGAGGAGGGTGAGGCTTACCCTATCAAAAAATAAAAGATAGTTTTTTGTGTATATGAGCAGACACTATCTCTCTTTCTTGTAATCTTTTACTTGCATCCACTGGATGGTTTTAATGAATTCCCCTTAATTGAAAAAAACGATTTAAACACATTCCTGTACAATATTTGACAATTATATGAAATACTTTAATTCTCAAAAAAAATTATATGAAATACTTTACTGATTATTTAACAAAAGATTAAATAGAGAAACACTATTATGAAAATGCACATACAAATATAAATAAACTATTCGCATAGTAGACATTAGATTAAACAAACTATGACATCTTCAATATTTAAAATTCAGTGACCCAAATCATAGCAGATTTACTCATTCAGATCATCATCTCTACTTAGCTAAGGAAGTAAAACAGTAATCAAATAGATCAAAACCTAAATTTGTTTTAGTTGAGGAAAAGTATCATTTACCACATTCTTCAATGACAGGTGACTGTGCTGAAGGCCGTATTTCATCATATCCATTTCTATAGCATTTATCCTTTTAGCAACATCCACTTGTGACAGCATGTTGCCCTCTTCATAAGGTGAATTCACATTACCAAACAATGAGAATAGCAATTCATATGTCCTGATATTTGGCTGGAGATTCAACTTTTTCATCTTAGCCAATATCTGAACTGCTCGTTCAGGTTGATCCTACAATATTAATTTGTAAAAGACTCAAAAACTGGACATCTCAGTCTAACACAATTGACAAGAGAGATGCGCAATTCTACCGAAAAGATGCTGAAAAAACAAAGTGATGCTGGATATGGCAGAATTTAGAAGACCCTAAAGCAATATATCTCTTAGTTACAACAAGAGGGGGCGTTATCCATATTTGAAATTCTAAAACATTTAAGTCAGAGGGTAGTTATAGTGGCAACATTTTAGCTTGACATACAAAACTCTTTTGCTGAAAGCTAGCTCAAAAATCTCATATTCCTTATAAATCCTGAGAAAGCAAAAGATATGACAGTGATATCAAGATGTGAAGGAAGCAAGAATATGCTCAGAGAGATAGTTTTGACTGGCTAGAAAAACAAAAGTCTGGACAAGCTGATTGGTCTTTTTGAACTATCCACGAACCTACTTCACTGAGAGTCAAAACCTCACCAGTTCCGACTTTACTGATCTAAGGATGGGACCAGTGATGATCTACTGCTTTGAATTATATTGTATTTTTTCCGAAACAATTATGTATGTCTTACCAGGACATCACATGCTTCAAGGAAAGCATTATAAGGACGAGGACTTCGGATTTCGGCCATCTCATCCAAGAAAGCCTCTGCCCTGTCGAGTTGTAACTCTCTGCTGCAGATGACTGCTAAAACAGCAAGAGTTGAATCATGAGGCTTAATATTTTTCTCTTGCATAACCTTTAGCTGCAAAATTTGAAAAACTACATCATGTCAAACTGAGAAAACCACGAGCAAGTACTATCCTTGGAGAAAGAGAAGTTCTAAAGAAGATTCCCATGATAATAAGTATATCTTACCACTTCCACTCCATCACTAAATCCTCTTGTGGTAACAATTGCCCTAATGAAGCCATCATATGTACTCCCTGATGGTTGCAAACCAAGAGTTTGCATCTAAACAAAAGAGATGACTTAGTGAAAAACAGACAGGAAATTCCTTTATGATATTGAGACAATTGTTATTGGCATATATTTCTGTGTTCAACGATGATATGTGTCTAGCCATATCATTCTAAGGGCAACGACTATCCTACTGATCCCTGCACTCACATTGACCAAATAGAGACATAGCAACTGGGACATCGTAGTAATACCTGTAACATTAACTGCTCAGCCAAATCACAATTTTGAACTTTTGCACAAGCATGCATGACATCATTGAAGGACCACCTTAAAAGCTTCGTAACAGATGCACTTAATGGTTTTTTTACTGTGCTTATTTCAATGCTGCCAATACTTTGCCTTTCCAAGTCAAAATTGGTGCTACCCTCTGTGTTGAGAGATGCATCGATGAAACTCAGGTTGCCAGTGGAAGGCGCTGGAATATCCAATCTTAAATCACAAAACCTTCCTTCAGCAGTTCTACTTATGTAAGAGTTTTCTCTAACAACCAAGCTCACCATGTGTTGTAAGGTTGTGTAGGCTGATTGCAGATCTCTCAGCTCCGTAAAGGACCATATAAACTTCCTAAGAGAAATAACGCTGAGACTGTAATATTTACTACATTCCTTCCAGATTTCATGGACAGCAGACAGGTTTTGCTGCAAAACTGCAAGCTGAAACAATGAGCTTAGAACAACATTTATTCAGACAAACAATTAAACTGCTGTCTTAAGAACTATATTCAACATTTAAAAAGCTGATTTAAAACAAAATGAAACAGAAATAATTAATTGCATGGTGCATACTACCTAATTTGGTTAGGAATGAAGAGGGAGGAGTGGATTAAAGGAGGTGAATAGTTTATTTGCCTTGTTCCTGGCAAGGGAAAATCTGATTGCACAAGTTCTCATTTCACTTCTTGTTAAGACAAAGGAGAAATGATCTCCAAAGCACTTCTCGAGAACAAGAGATAAAATTTAGTAGAATATAGATCATACAAATTAGTGAAGGCAATGTACCAGAAAGTAAACCATATTATCCAAATAATTATTGCTGGAGAATATTTAAGTTACCAACCGATGCTGAATAAGAAGCTCCTATACAGCATATCATATAATCACAAGTTTCACAGTTGGCTATCAGATTAGATTTCTGCTATACATCAGGAATCAGTTGGAGAAGAACGCAACCTACTGGAAGTACCGCCTTTTAATTACCAATGCATAATTGATTTTATATCACAGCATGGGTTGTTGATCTACCTATGACTAAATAGGTGGAGAATTGGTTTAATAGATTTCTTTAGTGGGGACTGCTGAATATGAAATTTTTCGTTACACAAAGTTCTATGGGTTTTAAGGTGTTATAAGCAGAAAAGAAGCATCAAAACTGGGGTTTATATGAATCAGTTATATAACCAGAATTAACATGAAATCAACGGAAATGATTCATTGGGAATATAGTAAGAGGGACAACTGGAAGACAAATAAGATTTTAAACTTTAACTACAGGACAATAACATTTCTGTTGAAAGACCTCTAGACGCACCTTGAGAAACTGAGCATATGTTATCTCATTCTTTCCCACCATCTGATGCTCCATCAAACCCATACATTCATTAGCATAATCTACTGTATGTGTTTCAGAACAAGCCACCAAGAAGTTGTTATAAACAGGCAACATAGAATAACTATTTGGGTTTTCTTCCATGATACTCATCAAACTGAGTGCCTGAATGAAATAAAGAAGAGAAAACTTTAATATGGAGCTTATGAAGCAAATCCTTTACAAAGGGAAGTATTGAAATACGTGTCTTGAAAGAGATATCAGATGGAAACACATAAATGACACATGGCAAGGAAAAGACAAATATAATTTCTCAATAATAATGCAAGCAGTACAACAGGTAATTAATCATTCAGATAGGATGTCACTTGAACTTCCAAAAGAATATCAAGAAGAAGTCAGATAAACCGACAATGTGATACGCAAACTACACCTTGCAATAAATAATATTATCCTCCATCAAGCACCTAGATGTCAGTTGTCCAATTAAAAGTCTGGCAATTCATAAACATTCATCTTCGGACAGGTAGAAAAAATACCATTGAGAGTTGAAGTTTAACAGTTATTCGATAAGTTCTTTTAGAGCCAGTCTATGCTAATGTGGAAAGCAAACCAGATGCTAGTACCTCCTTCAAGTAACCCCCTTTACAGAGTGCTCGAGCAGCAAGAAAATAGCACTTGGCACTAATGTCGATTTCCTTCTCCTCCATAATCTTCCAAGTCTCCATCACAAACTACAGCCAGAAAAAAGAAGAAGAAGCACAAAACTTCTTCAAGTTATTGTTCAGACGAGACAAAAATATATTGCAAAATGACATTCCAGAAAGCCTGCTTATTTGTTCTTAGTAGAAGTAAAAGACATTAAGGTAGTTGGCACAGGATGTCAATAATTCTTTGTCTGGGTACCTAACCTAGCATATACAACATAGTTGATTGACCATTTAAACTATCAGTGGCTATGAATCTGCAATATGTGCTCATCTTAGAACTTTTCACTAGCACAAACATTACGTGCCACATGAGAAGAAAGAATTGGACGTCTATTTGCATACTTACTAATGGATCAGGCAATCTTGCGCAAGTTTGCAGGATTGAAGCGAAATCATTGGCGCTCAATTTGTTGTTTCCAAGACTAAAGTCATAGAGAAGACTAACAGCTCTGCTTCTCTCTCCAAAGACAAGTGCATCAACAATTTGTTTTTGCCCTAATCCTGAAACAGGCTCCTCGACATGCCCTAAACAACGAAAAGACCAAAAGATTAACTCTTTTCTCCTCAACATTCATTTCCAATTGACCTTACCGAATTAATATTTTAGTAGGACACCTACCACTTGTACGCAAAAACAAGTTACAATACTAAGGGATGATTTACTACGCAAGTTAATAGGGAGATTGTTATTCCGTGAATAACAATTCATGAATTGTCATGTAATGAATAATAACACAAGCACTATTATGCATAGATTGCAACACCCTAATCAAGAATAAAGTTTTTCGTAGTATTGCTAATACACGTAATCTTATTCCATATTCTATTTTTTAAGAAATAATACTTGATTCCTGCACAGGTTATGTAGGTAGTGTTTTATACTAGAAATCAAATGCTGTACTCATTAATGTAAATTACTATGACGACATTTTTTTATCTGATACACAAAAACAGTCAGGATAAACATATATCGTATGCAGGGGCAGAGCTAAGTTGTTCAATTGAATCCCCTTCGTTTAAAAATAAAACAATGCAAATAGAGTAAGAAACAAATTTTTTTGGTATATTTACACTGTTCAATCCCATTGACAGAAGGAAAAATTCTAGTTAAGTGACAAAGGGGGTTCAAAAATTGTTTTAAGTAGTAGGTTCAAATTCCAGGAATGACATTTCTAGTGGCTCCGGCACTAATCATAAGCATATCCATTTTTCATTTCTACATAGATACATGAATCTTGTGTATTCACATTCACAAATACCAACAAGTTGATGATTTATCATTTTATACCGCTAGAGGTAGTGAAAGTTCTCATAGCTTGGCTAAAGCCTCCAATTTCCTTTCCTCCCTACAAAATAAAACTCTATTAGAATTCAGCTTCATTTAATTCAACAAAATGTAGCAAAACTATAAGCAAAAAAATAAGATATAAAAAAATTAGCTTACATTTCGAATATCATTTAAAAGTGTTTGCACTATCGAACTCGCGCGGACTTTCGATCTGGTAAAAATAAACCTATAAGAACATTATATATCCAAAAAATGCAAGCAATTGAGTGAGTTTTGAATAATAAAGAAATTGTACTTACAGAAGTTTAGGCATGTTCACTATGCTTCCTATTAAATAACTTAAAAACTTTCGGTTCAACAATTTAATAGACTTAGCAGCGCGAAGAAACTCGCCGGAGCGGCGAGTCTATAATGTCCGGTAAATCTATCGAGAATAGGCTATAGCTAGCCACCTCCGGCGAGTCGCGAGAAGACACTGGTTGCTGGGCTTCTTTTCCTTTTTCAGACACATTACTGGGCTTTGGCCCACGTTACTGGGATTCCGTTGTAAAAATTGCACGGGCGTCCTATTTGGACGCCCTTTTTAACATGTAGTCGCTTTGTTTTTCTATTGGTACCCGTACCTGTTTTTTTGTTAAAAGCAACTATTTTGCCCTTCTTTATTAAAAGACTACTTTCTCTCCAAGTATACGCTAGTCCTCTACTGTCTCTGTCTCTCACTCCCGTTACTCGCGTTTGTTGATTTGTTCTTCTCTGAAATCAAACGGTTTTCGTTGTTGTTTTGATTTTTCAACTGCTAGTCGTCGTTGTTCCCACATTACGATTTAATCACAGGTACATTGCAATAACTTTCTAGGTTTTATTTTACGATTTAATTTCTGATTTTGGTTTTGATAGTCATGTATTTATGATAGAATATTTTCTTAGGGTTTAGTTTGATAAGTGCATTAGTTTTACTTTTACGATTGTGTTTTTAGGTTTTTTGAACGAGTGTTTATGTTGTTGATGAAAATTCTATATTTAGGTTTTTTGAACGAGTATTTAAAAATTTCGAGTATTAAATATATGATACTATTTAGGAGCTATAGTATTATTTGTTTTATAATAGCTCAATGATACCTTAGATAAACAGAATTTGTGTTTTGTTTTTTGTCAAAACTACAGCATGTTTTTTTGCTGAATGTTTTGTGTTTTTAACTGGTGAAGTTCAGCTTTAGGAGCTGAAGTTTTTGTGTTTGTAACTGGTGAAGTCCAGCTTAAGGAGCTGAAGTTTTTATGTTTGTTACTGGTGAACTTCAGCTCTAGAGCTGAAGTTTTTGTTTTATAACTGTAGAACTTCAGCTCTAGAGCTGAAGT